CTGTGTAGCAAAACTATTACAGCTCCTAGCCAAAAGAAGTCATTCTGCTCAAGGAGCAAGCTAGAATTTCATAAGAACTCGACTTTATATGCCAACAAGCTTACAGCTCCAGGTCCTTGTTCAAAGGACCTAACGATTTAGCGAGTCGACTGCACGATGTGCTTCGAAGTCGATGCCTTAACAAGGCTTGACTCTTCTTACTACCTGAGACGCCTTAAAAGGCAAGTTTCTTTATTCGATTAGAAGTGGAACTGAAATTTATTTTTGTTTAATGCAAAAGGACATTTTAGCCTAAACGTACCCAATCTAGACGCTTGCTCTTATCAGTACCTTTTTCTGAGATCTTGTATTTGGTGGCTGACACCATCAGCCACTAACAACTAATACGGTGTTATAAAATATATCTAATTGGGACTTCATCCGTGGTTTAGACCACACATTTTATATCGGTTACCAACTGACGTGTCATTCGTTACATACTGCCATATGCTGTAGTGTACCTACCCGATGACGGACGACACAATGCCGTTAAAGCTCTAAAGATATAAAAATGGATCTGCTAGGTGATCCAATAAAAGCATGATATATTTATCACCTACGTAGGACCTTATCACGTCTTCACGTGATGTTGATGACGGAAATCAAGCGACAATTGTCGCAACAGCGGAATTAATCTCACTGTTGGAATGCGCATCTGTCTCGAAATTCGATCGACGCGAAAGCACATCAGCGACGACATTTAGTCGTTCTAGATTATGTGCCTGACGGAGATGTTATACTTCGCGAAAAGGAGAGCCCTCTCGCCATTCTTCACGAGAGGCAGGGTCTGTTTACGGTCGTGCGCACTACGTATGGTCCGTATAAACAACAAGCGAACGGTTTGTCTCCTAGGATGTAGACGCAAGATTTATTGAGTGCATATTCCATAACAAGGGTTTTTTTGTCATGCATTAAGTAACTACGCTCAGTAGCTTGCAGCTGAAGCGACTGATGGCAGACGACGCGCTCTGCGTCTACTGTGTCAAATTGCATCAAAGCAGAGCCGATTGCAAACAAACTTGGCGCCACAGACCACATGGAATGGTCTGTCATGATCTGTAATCGCCAGTATGGGCGATTGCATAAAGATCTGCTTGACACTTTTTGAAGTAACGCGAACAATTAGAGTTCCATGACCACTTTAAATGGTTCAGTGTTAACAGAAAGACGCACAGTCATCTTAGATTAATTTCGTAAGTACTCATGCAAGTACAATTCTAGGACAAGGATCTTACTGAGCCCCTTTACATCGACCGGCACAAGCTAATCCGTGATCGCCTTTTCCAAATCCGTATCAGAGCAAATTATGAAAAAAAAATCACGATGCACCCAAGAAGTGGTATATTGCTAACGAAAATTATGCTTTTGTTGAGGTAGGCGTACATCTTGTGCTTGCGTAGATGTGTATAAACCTGACGAACGTGTTTTTGATGAGATTTCACGTTCGTCTTTCCGTCCATAGCCGGGCTATGGACGATCACATCGTCAAAGTAACTTGGTTCGAATTCTTGCACCCAACTCGGCAGATTTGTCACACAATAGTTATACGTAGCAGGGCATGGCAAAGCCCTTGTACAATCAGCCATTTTTCAGATTATACTGATTGGGGTGCTTACTGCCGTTAACGGGATGTCTTGTTTACTCATGAGGATCTGATAGAATTCATCGATCAAATCCATGGACAATGATGGTAATCTTCGACACTACCATGAATTATTACGTTTTTTAATATCTTAGTTTGAGGCAATGCCGTTGCCATATTCATATAATACATGCATGCACTATCCGCCATCACCCTTTGACTTCTAGCATACATAAGGTCGAAGAGCTGTGAAGAAAGTTGTCTCTCTTACATGGCCCGCTGCGAAGCGATTGGCAAAGAACTTGTCGATCTATAGTATCTATTCATAAGGCGGTAAGAATTGATTCATGACACAGTACTTAGAGCCTGGCACGAGCTCGATTTTATGTCATGCGCCTTTCTCCTTTGGTAAGTTAAGTGGAAATGATACAGGGAATACATCCTTAGTTTCAATTAAGTTCTTCTACAGAGTATTTGTATAAAGCAACCCCTCGGAATGAGACGTGTGTCGATCGATCCTAGTCATCTCGTCGAGAATACTTAACTACATCTGTGGGCTGCTGAGAACCCCTTCGTTCTCAGCAAATACTTATGCCGACCAAATATCGACCACATACTCATTTTTTGTGACGAATAAACAGATCTGTTTGTCTTCGCCATGCGCAGATCACGTAAAACCCGTTTCGGTACTTACGTTGGTAATCAAATTATCTCCGAAGTTTAAATCGGAGGTGCAATCAGATCAAGGTTAGAAATCATCTACGCTTATTCCGTTATCCAACAAGACATTCAATATCTCAGTTTCTCCCTGGTAATTTATTTTATAGGATGCTGAGGAGATTACCCCTTATCAACTGCCGCTTGACGAAGGTTTTCGTTTAGTACGTAGGGGCTTGTTTACGCATCGTCTTCTAGTTGTGGTCGCACGCCTAGAACCATATCATATACGGTCGACTCTGTAGTCTGCATAGGATTACCGCGTCTTCGCTCTTGAGCAACCCTCTTACTCTTTCCTGGATGCCAACCGCTAGGCGTGCATTTATGTCCCACTATACTCGACTTATTTAAGTTGAGGACCTTTGGCGCTGCCTCTGTTTCAACATAGTCGCCAAGAGCTTTCTCCGCGGTGTAGTAATTAACTACACTGAAGTCTTGTGCAGTCATGCTAACGACTGAACCTCAAGTGAAGCCATCAAACTCACTTGCAGAATATCCTCACGCTGTGTACGCTACAAGACGTCCATCATATGTCCATCTGATGAACAAGCAGCAGGCATCTCCGTGGATCGATGCTGTCAGAATTTTTATAGATCGTAGTTTCTGAGTCATGGTAGACCAATGATGATATCCAATTTTCAATACAGATCCAGTACGGTAAAAACATCCTCTTGCTGATTTTCTTATGCCGTGTGGTGTATTACTACTGCAATCCCCTTCACTACTATCGATGCGCCTGTAGCAAGGCGCACATTCATACTCGTAAGATATATGTCGTGCTCAACGACACTGAGACTAAGGTCATCTAACGACTGGTATAAATGAATATATTACGACTCCTTACAGTCGACTAGGGCACGAAGTGAAAACTTTTTGTCGCTTTCAAGTTCTGGGTGATACGGGGATCCTAATCACCGGGTGCAGAAACACACAATGATTGTGTGTCTGGAGCAACTTTTGCCAAGAGATTTGCAAATTCTCTTGAGGTTGCTATATCAGTAGGGCGCTCCGTCTCTACTTAGCCCGACCTTTTCTGACGGTTTGCCTAGGCGTTGCGACTTTGCAACAGCTTCGGACCTACGTGCGTTTCTCTACTTGGTAGACGTTTGGTCTTTTTGCTCGGTGTCGCGAGATACTGCGCGTGGGGCACTACACTCATCTGCATAGCGGCCTTGTTTCTGAAAGTGATTGCACCTCTGCAATCGCGTGATACTCGAAACGTGAGATTTTTCGCTCTTACCATATCTAAGATCCATTGGTTTTGAACCCTTAACCTCTTTTCGTCTCTGTGGACGATAAGAGTCCGAACTAGCATGGACATGTCTCATTCTATAGTCCTCCTATTCCGCAACTTAGATTGTTTTTATAAGCGTATCCAGCTCCAAGAGGAACAGATGACTCCTGACGGGACCCTTTGCGAGACCCTGCATGAACACAGTAACCGACGTGTGTTCTTGACCGGGTTGGCCTTCATACTACTCGCAAGAAGTCGTATATGTTCAGCCTTAGCGTGCACATCACGCTTACTGTTTGAGTTTTTAGGAGCTCTGACCGAGCCCTTAGCGCAGCTTATGGTGGCTCTAACGATTGGCTGAGCTGGTCCTTAAAGACCTCTCGCAACCCAAACACAATGGGTCACTCATCTCGAGCGCTAGGCCCAAGTTTTGGCATACACTGCCAAGTTATATGTAGAAAATATAACTTGCATTTGCCATCGTCGAATCGATGAGCCTTTGTGGCTTCGTCGAATTCATCTTACCATCGTAGCAGGGAGTATTCCTCGACTCCTCTGTCTTTGAGAGACCAACCTTCACGGTTTAGGGTCTACGCGTATGCGCTTCGGCCCGGATAGTAGACAGAATTTGCTATTTTCTTAACAGTTCAAACTGTCACGAACCTTGCTTGTTTGACAAGGCTAGCTTTTCGAGCGCCGCGTCAAATTTATGCTGTACGTACTCGGAGACGGCGGAATGCTGTTGGTCGATGTCTAGTGCAGACATAATGCCCCTAACATCACTCTATCTCACGGTCGAACTCATCTGTTAAACCGCGCTTTATTCCAAGCCACTCGCATAGGAGTGTCTTTTACGCGTGGCATAAAGGTTGTCGCCATCGTCGTCCAACATGTTGATGTTGGGCGTGGAAGTTGAGGTCCTTTGTAAGGACTACAAAGTGCTACCTGGTGTAACGGGGCACTAGAAGCTACGCACTGGCAACATTGCGTAGCGGGCTTTTAGTGATCGCAGTGAGAATCAGTGCCCTGTTAGATGGCGTACACCGTAGGTGCAGAGGAAGTGAAGAATCTGAGCAAGTGTTGCCAAGTAGGAAAGAATAGTAAAAGTGTAGAATCGATAAGGATAAGCCTCTTTGGTAGCCTTCCTTGATCTTACTTGCACAACATCAAACTACAAACGTCCAATGCAGAATCGCACTCACCACCCATTGCGCGCGTCTAGTAGCGGTTGGTGGTTTATGTGGTTGATAGCATGACCTATTTCCACCAATTGCAAAGCGGTGCCGAATCTTATTTCTGACGGTGCGATTCCTTCCATATTGACCCGCACGACAAATAACGTAAATTTTGTCGCTTCAGATAATATTTACATTGCCACAATTTCTGCAAATGACCTGAAACAGACCCACTCCGTCACAACTGAGACGAATGGAAAGTGACCATCGGCGTCTCGTGGCGCGCGGGCGTTGGAGGTGGCGCCTTTATGCGGCTCTGGTGGCGGGCAGAGTCCTCGGGAGCGTCATGCTGCTTGGTATGGTGCACCCCGATGAGTTCTTCCAGAGCCAAGAGGTCGTCGCGCGGCACTTTTTGTCGCAACACAGTGTTGTGCGGCGCGAGTTGGTCCTGCCGTGGGAGTTTGAGCTGCCAGCGCCCAACCGTTCGATTGTCATTCCGTACGGTGTTTTTCTTGCGCATATAGGAGTGAAATTGGTGGTGAGGACATCGTGTGAGATTTGGTGGTGGCTCTAACTTGCGGTCGTGTGCAGTGCGCTGATCGTAGGAGCACCGTACAAGATTCTGGACCTTTTCAACGTCAAGCTGACGGGATGGCTGTTGCTCGTGACGCCGAGATTGCTGCTCTGTCTCTTGTCGTTTACGTTCGATGTCGTGCTGTATCGCATTGTGGGGCAAACGAGTTGCGACCAGAACGCAGCGGATAGACGGGAGAAGCAGGAGAAGGCGCTGCTCCTATTTGCCAGCTCGTGGCCGACATTCGTGCTCCTGTGTCGACCGTTTTCTAACACTCTAGAGTCTTTGGTACTCGCGCTTTGCTTTGCAGTGTTATTCCTAGCCGATCCAGTGAGTGCTGCTGCATTTGGCTCGCTTTTGTGTTGTCTCATTTCGTTTGACTTTTGCACTGACGCTCTGTTCATCAGCACCGACGGGTTTTGTGCGGCGTAGTGCACGTACAGACTGTTCTTCTTGGCAGTTTGTTGGCAGTGGGCGTGTTCACGCGATTTACCTTTCCAGCGTTTTTCTTTCCGCTTGGCCTGGAGCTAGTGCGACAGCAAGATGCGCTGCTACTCGAGGCAGCACGGAAGAAAGAGGATGCGCGTGCGTCTTTGCTTGTGCGCCGCTTGACGTCGACACTTGATGTAATCTTGCAGGGAGTTGTGGCGTTTTTGATCTGGGCGGTCCTCTTTGTTGTCGTGGACACCGTGTTCTACCGGCCAGATGTGTTTAGTGGTGAGAGCAACAGCGTGTCGCTACTGAAGATCATTGCAAGGAATACTGTGATCGCACCGCTGAATAATCTGCTGTACAACATTCAGTATGACAACTTGGAATTACATGGAGTGCACCCGCGGGTGACGCACTTGGCTTTGAACATGCCCATGCTTTTCGGACCACTGTTTTTCATTTTCCTGGTGCAATGTTTGCGGTTCCCCGATCGCACAGTTTTTGGTACTGCATGCGTGCTCTTTCCACTGGCATGCTTGTCACTGGCTCCGCATCAAGAGCCAAGATTTATGCTGCCAGCTATTGTTCCGCTGCATATTTTCGCAGTCTCGAACGGCAGTATGAGCACGTTTCGCTTTTTGACTGAGCACAAGCTTGGAATGCTGCTATGGTTCGTGTTTAACTTCGCGCTGACGCTCTTCTTCGGCGTTTTGCACCAAGGAGGCGTCGTGCCAATGCTGCTATCGCTATCCTCGATGGCTTCGAGTTCAGTGGAGAGCCCTGTCACCTCTGCAAGTTGGCTGACGAACACGGTATGCGACTTCGATGGCGCCGACAAAGTTGCTATGCAGATGCTCGGTTTAGTGCCGCTCGTGTTTGCAAAGACCTACATGCCCCCGCGCTTTCTGCTCGCTGGCATGACAGCATCGTCTGCGTTTCGAGTGATCGACCTTGCTGGAAAAAACACTGTGCATGACCTCGTCGAGTCGTTGGGTGGCAACAACGCAGACCAGATGTCTGCAGAACACGAAGTCACGATGTTTATGGTGCTGCCTGCAAGCGTCGACCTCAGAGACATGATGCCCGAAGTGTTCATATCACTCTCGAGAATGTCGAGGTTGGGTCGATGTTTTCCCCACGTATCAACTGAAGACTTTGCGCTTGACAAGCCATTGTCACTGGAGTTGTATGCAGTGACACTGACGACAAAGTCATGACCAGCTTTCCTCGAGCTCGCAGAAAGAGGCGAAACGAACTGCGGCACACGATCCTGCGACTCATTTATCCCACATCTCTGTTGTCGTCGATCGATCGATCGAGGATTGAAGCCAAACGATGTACTGGAAATGTTCAGGAAGCGCAGCGTAGACACACAATATCGACTATTGCCAGGTCCAAAGATGTACAAGACGACCAATTACGTAATCAGTTGACAATGGTAAAGAACAGACTATTAATCGTTAAGCGGTACATGCTCGTACTTTCATGGCCAGCGATTGATCCGATTGATCCGATCGATCCGATCGAATACGTCGTCTGAATCCCTCGCTTTACTGACGTCCTCCTCCCTCCAGCCATGGCTAAAAGACCCAGTTTTTATCCCACTGGTCGTCGTCGTCACCCACCCACCCATCCACCCATGCCTGTCCTGACCACCCCCGCGAGTGGACGCGCGCCGCCCGTCGTGGGCGTGCTAGGCGGCGGCCAGCTCGGCCGCATGATGGCGAACGCCGCGCACCGTCTGGGCCTTCAGGTCATCGTGCTCGATCCACTGGGCGCTGCGTCTCCGGCCGGTCAAATGGGCCTCGACGCGGTCGCCGGCAGCCTCACGGCCGAGGCCGACATTGCGAACTTAGCCACTAAGTGCGACATCTTGACCGTCGAGATTGAGCACGTGAACGCCACTTGTCTCGCCCAGTTACAGGACCGGAACGAAGCGACGCAGTTGCTCGGCGTCCACCCGTCGCCCGCGACGATTGCGCTGATCCAGGACAAGTACCAGCAGAAGCTGTTCTTCACGCAGGTGCAGGACGTCCGTGTGGCGCCGTTTGAGCTCGTGCCGTCGCTCGCCGTCGCTCGTCAAGTTGGTGAGGCGTTTGGCTATCCCTATATGCTCAAGTCGCGTCGATTGGCCTACGACGGACGTGGCAATGTCGTTGTGACGAAGGAGAAGGACTTGAAGAGCGCGTTTGAAGCACTGGGGGCCACGCTGTTGGCACAGGGTCGGGCCCTCGACGACTGTGCGGACGACGACGACGAGCAGCAGCAGCAGCAGCTCGAGCTCGAGACGCACCAGTTGTACGCCGAGAAGTGGGTCCCGTTTGTCAAAGAGCTCGCGGTCATGGTGGTCAAAGGCGTGGACGACGACGTGCGGGCGTACCCGGTGGTCGAGACCACGCAGCGGAACAGCATTTGTGATACAGTGCTGGCGCCCGCACAGGTTCCTGGTGACGTGATCAAACGTGCTCGGGACATGGCGCTAGCAGCGGTTGCCGAGCTGGAAGGTCGGGGTATTTACGGCGTTGAGCTGTTCCTCACGGCTGCGGGGGAGGTGCTGCTGAATGAAATTGCTCCGCGGCCGCACAACTCGGGCCACTATACGATCGAGGCATGCGAAACCGACCAGTTTGAACAACACCTGCGTGCCGTGACGGGCTTACCGCTTGGCAGCTGTGTCATGCGTGTACCAGCGGCGCTCATGGTGAATGTACTGGGCGATGCGTCGTCATCTGAAGACGTGAGCTTTTCGCTACTTCGCAATAGTTTGAACATCCCCGGTGCTGCGGCGCACTTTTATGGAAAAGCGGGAGTGCGTCCTGGACGGAAGCTCGGACACGTGACGATCACGGCGCCGAACCTCGAAGAGCTGACGAAGCGCGCGACGGCTCTATCGCCTGAGTGTGCCAAGAGCTCGGGACTGCTGAAGCTCGAGCGCAAGCCACTGGTGGGTATTGTCATGGGCTCGGACTCGGATCTCCCTACCATGGCAGCAGCCGCGGACATGCTGGAGAAGTTTGGTGTACCCTACGAGCTTACGATCGTGTCGGCCCACCGCACCCCGTTGCGTATGTACGAGTACGCCCAGAGCGCTGCCTCGCGCGGTCTCAAGGTCATTATCGCTGGTGCTGGCGGTGCGGCTCATTTGCCAGGTATGATTGCTGCGTTGACGCCTTTGCCTGTCGTTGGTGTGCCCGTGAAGACGTCGACGCTCAACGGTAAAGACTCGCTGCTGAGCATTGTGCAAATGCCCCGTGGTGTGCCAGTCGCCACCGTTGCCATTGGCAACTCGACGAATGCTGGTCTGCTGGCTGTTCGGATCCTCAGCGCTGGAGACTCGTCGCTTCTCGAAGCTATGGCGACGTTTCTCGAGACGCAGACGCGCGAGGTTGACGACAAGATCGAGACGATGGCTACCAGCGGGTGGAAGGAGTTTCTCCAGAACATGAAGAAGCGCTAGCTGAGTAGCTAGCTACTAGGAAAAGGCAAAAGCTCGGCTTGAACGTCAACAAGAAGGAGTTTTTCTGTATTCCTGGCACTGGTTGTGAAGAGGCCTTTTGGCGGTCGAGCCTCGTGCCGGTCTACTTGTGTTTCTTCAGCTTCAGATGCTTTAGCTGATTCTTTAGCGCCTTAGGCGTCTGTTTGTTCTGCCGCACGACGCTCTGCTCGATGTTCGTGCTGCCGTGAGCTGCCACGTTACGCCAATAGAGCAGACCGGCCAAACTCACGCCAAACGTGACAAAGCTGAGGAACCAGATGACAAAGCCGAGCGCGGCCTCGTAGAATTCGGCAGTGAGCACGGGGAACTCACTCATGCCACGCACGAACGGCGTCACAGTCGCCGAGGTGAGGTCATGGCCAAGCCGAAAGCCGCCAAAGTTTGGCAGTGTCGTTGCGTCCGGTAGGACAGTCATCGAAGCAGCGTGGAGCGTTGTTGGCGTGAGCGCAGCAGGAATCGAAAGACCCGGTGCCACACGCTGCACGAGCCACACGAGCGCACTGGAAAAGCCGAGAGACGTCGCCGTTTGCTTCATCAAAAGTTGCACCGACGCCAGCAATGCACATACAGGCGCCAGGTACTGCAGGGCGATGATCGGCACGTAGTTGAACTGGATCCGCACTTTGCTCTGCAGGAGCGCTCCGTCGACTACGCCGGGACGACCCACGAGCGACGCCATCACCTCGCGAGGCTCGAGCAAAAAGTGCTGGACGTAGCTCCGGAAGCACAGCAAGCGCACGAGACACGCGGTGAAGACGACGTAGAGTCGAAGCGTGTGGAACTGCGACTCGGTGAGACTGTACCATTGCCAGACACGGGACGTGGTCGCTGCAGTGTCGAGTCCCAGGAGCACGTCGTCCTGCAGGCAATCGCGCGTGAGAGCGCGTGGCGAGCACTTTACCAGTTCACGAGGTACCAGCACGTGCTTGGAGAGCTGCGGTACCCACAGCGCACAGATGAGGACTGGGAAGAACAGGTTGAGATGCAGCAGCAGCTTCTTTCCCCGCGAGTGCCGCTTGTCGTTGACCATCTCCGAGTACATGCGTGCAAACCGGAACGACGGCAGGAACGTCGTGCACGTAAAGACGCCAGCGACCAGCGCACACGTGAGAAACAGCAAAACCTTTGCCGCTTCAGCGATTGGTGCAATGTTGACAAAGTCAGCGTCCATGAACCCCACGGCGCGGAGTATTAGGGCCAGTCGCGCGCCCACGAGATGAGCGGCGCGCTCCAGGTCAAAGTCGAGCATCTCCTTGGGGGACAGGATGACAAAGCCCGCAAGCACGAGCCCGACAAAGCCAATGGCGAGGCCCAAGCGTGCCTCGTAGCCTGCCCAGCCTTGAGCAAAGTGCAGCTGCAAGGGGAACCACAGCGCCACGAGCAGAGCCGACAGCAACGTGTACGTGGCGACGTCGACGTTGGCGGCAGCGCTGTTGTTGTTGTTGCTGTTTACCTGGTCGTCGGTCGTCGCCGACGTGAGCCAGTGCGCGGCAAACGTCCCGACCGCGCCGCTCCAGTAGCCCACAGAGCTCGAGGACACGAGCACCACGAGCATCTCGTAGAGCTCAAAGAAGAGCGCCTGGTTGAACACCCCGGGCTCGGTCTTGGCCACGCGGACGTAGAACTGGTCCAACTTGTCGGCGGCACTGAGCGGGTGGCCGCTGCCGGTCGCTGTCGTGGCGCCTTTGGGCGGCGGGTGGCCATTGAGCGTCGCAATGAGCGCGTCTTCCGGCGGCAAGAAGAACGTCAGGCCATTGAGCAGCCACGACGCCAAGCTCAAGTGGCTGCGTAGACGCAGCTGCGCAAACACGAGCAAGAAGGTGGCCACGACCACGGGCGACAACAGCATGACGGGCCACGAGCGGCTGGTTTCGACAGTAAAGGGCCAGGGCAGCCCCGGCGAGCGCTGCTGTCCAGTCATTTTATGTAGCCAATTCCCCCCCACCCAACGGTCGCCGCTAGTTATGGAGATCCGCGTGCAGTCTATCAGAGCGTTGGCCGCTGCAGCAGACGCGGTTGACCATGACGACATGGCGCTCGAGCACGCTGTGCTGGTCACGCCTGGCGACGTGATCACAACGGACACGACGGCGTTCCTCCGCGGCCACGGCACGTACTTGAGCGCCTCGAATGAGCTCGTGGCCAGCGTGGCCGGCGTCGTGGAGAAGGTGAACCAGCTCATTACCGTGCGGCCGCTCGTGTCGCGGTACATTGGCGAAGTCGGCGACCTCGTGGTCGGTCGCGTCACGGACGTGGCGAGCAAACGGTGGAAAGTCGACGTGAACGGCCAGCAAGACGCGAGTTTGCTCTTGAGCTCCGTGACGCTGCCGGGGGGCGACCAGCGACGTCGGACGTACGCCGACCAGCTGCAGATGCGCACGCTGTTTGTCGAGAACGACCTCATCTCGGCCGAGATCCAGGAAGTCCGCTACGACGGGTCGCTGAGTCTCCACACGCGCAGTCTGCGCTACGGCAAACTCGAGAACGGGCAGTTTGTGGCCGTGGCCGCGCCGCTGGTCAAGCGGATGAAACAGCACATGGTGACGCTGGCGGACATTGGCATTGACGTGATCCTCGGCACGAACGGCTACGTGTGGGTCTCGCGAACGATGGCGGCAGTGGGAGACGATCGAGCTGGGGAAGACACGACGAGCAGCATGGAGACGCGCGTGGAAGTGCTGACGGTTAAACGACAAGTGCACGCTGCGACGCCAATGAGCGTGGAAGACCGTCGAAAGATTGCACGGGTGGCACAGGCGCTACTGCGGCTGAATGAGCACTTTCGGATGATCACGCCCGAGAGCATCATGACGACGTATGAGCTCTTGGAATCGCAAGGACGATGAGGAGGACGAGCAGGAGAGAGAGAGAGAGAGAGAGAGAGAGAGAGAGAGAGAAGAAGAAGGAGAAGCTCAAGCTGATGATAACAAGCGCGTGCGTCTGTGTACGAAAGCTCGTGTTTGATCAACGTGTTTTGCTACCTGTCAACAGCTTTCAGCTCTCACGTTTCCGTCATCCGGCAGCTCACGTCAGCGCTCGACTTGCTCTCTTCGCTACGGCGATAGCTTCCTGAGCTGAATGTGGCGTCTTGGCGAACGTTGGGTTCTGTGCTGGATCTGTTCTCATCGCGAGCTTGATGTTTCGTGTCGCCCTTGCCTGCTGCATCGCGACGCTCACTTCCTTCGCTGGTTGTGCCCTTGTCGTCGTGTTCACTAGCTTCAGTGGTGATGCCTTTGCCATTGAGTCCGCTTGCTTCGCTGATGATGCCTTTGCCATTGTGCTCGTTTGCTTCAGTAGTATGGCTCGTGCCATTGTGCATGCTTGCTTCACTGGTGATGCCTCCAATTTTGTGCCCAATCGCTTCACTGCTGATGCCTTTGCCATTGTGCTCGTTTGCTTCGCTGCTGATGCTCGTACCATTGTGTCCGCTTGCTTCGCTGGTGATGCTCGTACCGTTATGGATGCTTGCTTCACTGCTGATGCTCGTACCATTTACGCTTGCTTCGCTGGTGATGCCTTTGCCACTGTGTGCGCTTGCTTCAGTGGTGATGCCTTCGCCATTGTATACGCTTGCTTCAGTGGTGATGCCTTTGCCACTGTGTGCACTTTCTTCAGTGGTGATGCCTTTGCCATTGTGCTCGTTTGCTTCGCTGCTGATGCCTTTGCCATTGTGTATGGTTGCTTCAGTGGTGATGCCTTTGCCATTGTGCTCGCTTGCTTCGCTGGCGATGCCTTCGCCATTGTGTGCACTTGCTTCAGTGGTGATGCCTTTGCCACTGTGTGCACTTGCTTCAGTGGTGATGCCTTTGCCATTGTGCTCGCTTGCTTCGCTGCTGTTGTGCTCGCTTGCTTCGCTGCTGATGGTCTTACCATTGTGCTGTTCGCTGCTGATATTCGTACCATCGAGCGCGCTTGCTTGGCTTTTGATGCCTTGGCCATTGTGCTCGCTAGCGTCATTGCCGATGCCTTTACCATAGTGCTCGCTTGCCACACTGCTGGTGGCCCCATCATTGCGCTCGCTTGCTTCACTGGTGATGTCGTTGCCATTGTGCTCGCTTGCTTCGTTGGTGATACTCGTACCATTGTGCTTGCTAGCGTCACTGCCGATGCCTTTGCCATTGTGCTCGCTTGCTTCACTGCTGATGCCTTCTTTGCTGTGCTCGCTTGCTTCACTGCTGATGCCTTCTTTGTTGTGCTCGCTTGCTTTACTGATGATGCCTTCCCAATTTTGCTGGCGTCCATCGCTGCCAATGCTTTCGTCGTTGTACTTGCCTGCATCACCGCCGATGCTTTCATTACCATTGTGCTCACGTCCTTCGCTGTTGATACTTTTACCATTGTGCTTGCCTTCTTCAATGGTGACGCCTTCGCTGTTCTGTCCGCTAGCTCCACTCGCAACGCCTTGACCATTGTGTTCTCTCGCGTCTCTCATTCCTTTACCATTGTGCTCTGACGCTTTGCTGTCGACGCTTTCGACGCTTTCGTCAACAGTGTGCTTGCTTGCTTTGCTGATAATGCCTTCGCCGTTGTTCTGGATTGCGCTGCCGTCGATTCCTGCACCATTTTGCTTGCGAAGTTCGCTTTCGACGCTTTTGCTTGTGTGCTCGCTTGCTTTGCTGCCAATTCCTTCACCATTTCCTTTGCCTGCTTCACCGCCGGTGCTTCCACCTGCTTCGCTACCGATGCTTGTGCCATTGCGTTCGTTTGCTTCACTGCTCTGACCGCTACCCTTGCTTCCTTCGCTGTCGCCACCGTTGCCTTCGTATTTTTCGCTGTCGCTGGTGGTACCATCGCCATCATCACCGTTCCCTTTGCTTTCGTCGCGGCGACTGCCTTCATCAACATGGTTGCTTCCTTCAGTCTTCTCCTGACTGCCTTTGCTATCTTCGCCGTTACCGGCGCTTTCTTCTCCCTCTTCGCCTTCTCCTTCTTCGCCTTCTTCTTCTTCGCCTTCTTCACCAACTCCACTGTTACCTTCGCTTTCTTCGCTATCGTCATCTTCATCGGCGTTTTCTTCACTATCATCATCGTCGTCTGCATTTTCTTCACTGCCCTCGACGCCACTCTTGCTCTCTTCGCTGCCTTCAACGCCACTCTTGCTCTCTTCGCTGCCTTCAACGCCGCTCTTGCTCTCTTCACTGCCTTCGACGCCGCTCTTGCTCTCTTCACTACCTTCGACGCCATTCTTGCTCTCTTCACTGCCTTCAACGCCACTCTTGCTCTCTTCACTATCATCATCGTCGTCTGCATTTTCTTCACTGCCCTCGACGCCACTCTTGCTCTCTTCACTGCCTTCAACGCCACTCTTGCTCTCTTCGCTGCCTTCAACGCCACTCTTGCTCTCTTCGCTGCCTTCAACGCCGCTCTTGCTCTCTTCACTGCCTTCGACGCCGCTCTTGCTCTCTTCACTGCCTTCGACGCCATTCTTGCTCTCTTCACTGCCTTCAACGCCACTCTTGCTCTCTTCGCTACCTTCAACGCCGCTCTTGCTCTCTTCACTGCCTCCGACGCCACTCTTGCTCTCTTCACTGCTCTCAACGCCACCCTTGCTCTCTTCATTGTCTCCTTCGCTTTCTTCGCTTCCTTCTTCGTCTCCTTCGCTTCCTTCGCTTCCTTCTTCGTCTCCTTCGCTTCCTTCTTCGTCACTGTCGCTGTCGCTGTCGCTGTCGCTATCACTGTCGCTGTCACTGTCGCTGTCTTCGCTATCCTCTTCTTCTTTTGCCTCCTCCTCATTCGTTTCTTCGTTGGCAACAGTGCTAGAGGCAGCATCGTCCCCCTCAATTGGCTCCAGTGGTGGAGCCATCGTGCCGCTTTCATCTGTGACTCGTGCTTCGAAGGTTCCGTCATGAACCGGCAGTGACTCAACGGTAGACGCAGCACTTGCTCGTGGCACGGTCAATGCGACTTCGCTGAGAGCTCGCAACGAGGGTCGAGAACGATCAGCTCTCGTCAATGCAGCCTGTGCACTTCCACGTTCCAACTGCAACCGGAGACGCCGCAGCACGTGGCCGAGTCCGTACTCGCCAGCGTCCACGCCATTCGCCTCAACTGGAACAAGTCCGAAGGCACTGGCCGTCCCGACTCCAAGCAAAGCCGCTGTCAGCATCATCGTCATCACCTTAACACGTCCACGTGTCCGCAGCACTGGAGGCCACGACGTTATCGTGTCCATCTCTCTGTTCCTTTCGTATCGCAGCGGTCGCAGCAGCAGAATCAAAAGTGACAGACGCCGTCGTGTGCGTCCCAAGAGGCGCCGCGTCAACTGACCACCCGCCACACGAGCCGTCGAAACTACACGCACACACACATACACATACACATACACCCGGCGACGTAACGACACTCGAAAGCTGCTCTGTCTTGACGGAACAAAATGGAGCACACGTGCCCGCACGAAATCTAAAGCCGCGCGAAACGGTCTCCCGCATCGTGTGCTTTTCCTCTCTGCGTCCAGACGGCTGTCCCCTTTGCGACAGACACACAGACAGACGGACAGACGTATAGCCAGAGACGACAAAGCGGTCCCTCAACGACAACGCCGTCTCGTGACTAGCCTCTTTCCAACCACAGATTCCTCCAGTCGGTCAGTGTCAATCCAGCGGTTCCCAGTCCCTCAGGTTCCCCTCCTCCTCACTAACCCCCACGACCCCTTCCTCCAGTCAATACCCAGCGCGGCTCCTCTTCGTCCTCTCCTTCCACTCTCCCAATCGACTCAAACTTTTGTCCCTCTCCTTCTCCTTCTCTCTGTCTCTGTCTCACGATGTCGGCCTTAGGTTGGCCTACCGAATCCGTCCTGCACGTACGACGTGCCCGTGATCGCCCCTTCGCCATCGCGTTCGTCAGCAGTGCCCAATCCCACACCGCCACGCGGGCCGTTCACCCGGTGCACCGACTCGAACGTCGCAGGCGCTTCGAAAGTGCCTTTTGCACCGGACGGGCGCCACGTGGGACGTCGCCACGCGCCCCACGCGACGCTCAGGAGGAAACCCACGAACGCCAAAAAGCACAGCGCGGCACTCGAGGCCAAGTGCGCGCACTGGACAGCGTCGACGAGCACGGGACAGTACCGCATGTAGTCACTAGCGGCCAGAGCACAGCCCGCGCTCATAAAGAGGACCGTCAAGAGCGCGTCGATGGCAAAGCAGTAGGGCGCTACTGACGGGCGCTCGCTGCCGAGTCGCCAGGCGACAATCAGTAGCACTGCGTCGTAGAGCGACGCCGAGAAGCACACGAGCACTGCGAACGTGACGGACGGACCGCCGTAGTAGACCGTCACGTTGAGCTGCTCGCGGCGGTCCATTGTCTCGAACGTCCGTTGCTGCGGCTGGAAACTGCTCGCTACGAGCGCGAGCGCGACGACAGACGTGACGAGCTGCAAGAGCCGCAGGGCGAGTGGGAAGACGCAGGTGGGGAGCGGACGGCAGCGAAGAGGAGTTGACATGACGGTCGGCTTGAGCGGTGAGTTGAAGTTGCAGGTACACTGGTGAGCGAAGAGCTCAATTAACGTACTGACTGATTGACTGACTGATTGACTGACTGATTGACAGACAGACCAATTAACTGACGAATGGGACGTATAGTGACTTTACTTGTGATTGACTGCGCCGTCTGGCGGTCAATGAGTCGATCAATCGATCGTGTCGTCGGTCGGTCGGGTAGTTGTGCACTCGTTGTCGTCTTTTGCATTCTCTTCTTCTTCTTCTTCTTCTTCTTCGACTTCTTCTTATCCTGACGCGCGTCGGTCGACTGTGGTGGCGGTAATGCGTTTGCTCTTCTTCGCTGTGCGCTGGTCGACAGTTGGCGTGCGACCACTGGCTTTTTGCATGGAGTCGCTGACGCGCAGGTGGTTTCCGCGACCAAAGAATGTTCCTCGGACAAGTTGCAGTGGATGAGCAAGTGGTTGCGCAGAGGAACAGCTGCATTCGAGGAAGAAGGTGGGGATGCTTTGCAGGTGGTGCTGTTGTTGTTTGGTGGTGGGGGGCGGTAGTGTGGATTCCATACTTGTCGATTGAAGTGCATGCTGTCGTGTCGTGTGACCCGTTGCGTGGACGTACGAGCTCTTGTCGCAACATGACGAGACGTTGAAGCAGCGAAGCCGATGGAACGCGAAGGCACCATGCGACGCCAGAGAACGCAGCTGCATGTTGCTATGCAAAGCCGCCACGTGATGGGACAGCGAATATCGCGGCGCAGCTGTTTGAGTCGGATGGACGTCCGTGTCGAGTCTTGTCGCGATACCATTCGAGCGACGAACGATGCACTTGTTAACTGCGGCTATTCGAAGCTGTTCGTGCGGAAGGTCTGTGCGACGGGGTCTTTATTTTCCGTGCAAAAGAAGAGGATTCTTGTGGAAGCATTCACACTGTTCGTTTGCAGGGGGTTATCAGCCTCAGTTGACCGCTGTACACGACTTGTAGAGAGGACACGGGTCAGCGTTCTGCGTGGATCTTACGGTCTCCGGTATGCTGCACCTGCAGTTGCTCAAGATGCAACTGCTTGGAAACGTGGGGCTGAAACGATGTTCCGACGCTTCGTAACGCGTAAAGTGCAAGTAACAGACGACATTGAACCGCCGTTTGTCTGCCTTGTCGAAGGACTTGTACCAATGTGGTTACTTTGAGGCACCGAACGATTGTAAAAAAACGATGTGGCTACGGACGGGATTCACAGACGTTTTTTAGGTACAGGGACATCGATGTCACTGTCAAGAACATCGTCGGAGCATGGCTAAAGTGGCTCTATGGATGCGTTTGATCGGTCAATACTACAGATTTGTTGACAGACGGGTGTGCAAGGAAGGAGGGACAGCTAGTGAGCCGCAGATTGCAACTTTTTTTCTGTTAGATGGACCGACCAAATCAGTTTTTGACACTATGTGTATCCAGTATCCAACCCACAAGACAGAACCACTTTGCATCGTTCGTTCACTGCTCCACACGATAGGTCCTCATAAGGTTTCAAATGCGGTATCACTCTGATTGTACGAACGATGTCTTCCGATACCATACTATCTTTGGTGGATAATGTGGGCATCAGAAATGACATGAAGAATGCCTTTTCGATGCCCCTGTCGGTGATGACAAATACGATACCGTCACGAGGTTTGTTACAAGCAACTGACCGGAGATAGATCTCGCGTATCAATGCGATCGTGCTGGTGTATATTGAAGTAATTAGAATCTAATTGATCAACTCAGGAAAGAAAGATAAACAACCGGAAGAGTTTGCACTGACAATCATGTGTTCATGACTCGTTGAGTAACCTTCTCGCACCTCCTATTGCAATGCGTATCGCATCGACCCCTTCATTCAGCAATTGCGGCTCGATCCTCTTTGTCGACGATACGTATTCCTGATCCCTTTGGGTCCATGAAAATCTCGTTACTTGACCACATGAAAGACGTTTCATCATGTCATCGTTTTACCAGAAGTAGATGCGACTGATCTACAAGCGACGGACTCCATCCGTGTATTTGAAGCTTGCCACAGCGTACAGTGACTGCGCTTTGTCATTTTAACGTACAGTCGTGATCGTCCTCATTTACTTACATTCGTCTTGCGATACCCTGTCCGTGACAAAAGTCAGTCTTTAGCTTCACCTTTATTGCCTTCTGTCGTTGATCATTGCAACGGCTGCTCGGCTGTTCATCGTGATTGACAAAGCTTTGTTTTGCGATATCTCGGTCGGACATCCGCTAGGCTTATTTATGCGCGACCCATCAATCGTGGGGGTTCAGCCTATCCGCACATCATTTGCCGACCCGCGAAGCGTTGTCTGCGTTCAACAACAAGATCTGCTGCATCTATAAGAATGCAGGTTATGTCCTCCCATCCGTGGACTTACGATCGCCCCGCCTTAAGGATGGTGCCGGTAGGAGCTACCGACATTACCCATTCGATCGTACACAGAAGTGCAAAAAATGTCATCGACACATCGTTTGGTAGACATTAGATAATGGGCATATCCATGCCCATTATCGCGTCGAAAGTTGTGAACATGCAGCGATTTTCCGTTATGCACCTCTCGTTACGCACACTTCAAACAAACGTTTGCCCATTCGAATGCTGCATTGCAAGCAAGACCGACCATTCTTCACGGCAAGTAGTGCTTTCGTTGATCTGCCTCATATCGACAGCTGGATGCAATAGTGTAATATGTCGTCTATCGTAACACAACAAGTATGCAGATATGACGCTGCCACAAGGCACCACACGGATTCGACGTGTATCGTGGCATACTTACTTCTATCCTCTAGAACTAGGTATGCCACGAGTCTAGCCTGAAAGTCCGCTTGTAACCTGTGTTCACCGATCCAGTTGACAACGACTACGATATCAACGCGAGTGATATGTACCCAAGGCCGTACTGATTGGGGTATAATATTGCACTTACAAACTCTTACGCGATGATCTACACGGGATCAACGCGGCCTCGTGTTTCGAAATTACGATACCAATAACTACAGCCACTCGATCATGTTTGATCCCTTGATCAGCTGGCCAGCTTGGTCAATTACATCAACTCGTTGAGGTGTAGACGAAATGCTCACAGCATTGGTATGGCGAGCAGTGAGTCAATCGATGTATGGTTTGCATCGGTAGCACGATGTTTGCAGCCATGAGCACACCTTTACTGTTTCTGCACCTGATTTGCTCGCAACTAAGTGTCGTTTTGCCATCTGATACGACAAAGTCGCTAGAAAGAGTCGATTCATTGCTAGTGCGGTATTGCAAAACGAATGATGCAAACCATTTGCTTCACCAGTATCCGCGACGAGCCAAAACGTCACAATCTACACGCACTGCTCATTTCTACTCGAGCGCGCAAGGTAAACGAACACGAAAGGTAAGAAATAGATTGCGATGAAAATCCCGTTTCTATCGATGGTAAGAAACCATCGTGGTGTGATTATCGTGATACTAATGAACGCACACTTCGGTCTGTAAAAAGCACGCGGCTGCAACGACATCCGACACCGTGGAACTCGTGTGCGCTTGTCAAGTAGAGGCGCATGCAGCATTTTAGTGCAGCGTCTCGATCTTGCAATGTGCCTAGTGCATCGCATATGCTCATACTTATACCTGTCGCGTAGCAGGTCGTATGACTTTGGTCGAAACGACACGCGTGGGAATATGCTGCAGGTCAGTCGGATCTGGTGAAACCCCACGTACGAGGAAACGCTGCAGGTAACACCTTTGGATGTAGTAACTTTGCCAGCCAACATCCGTGTCAAGTATGAGATGCATATCACCAGTCTGGGCTATCACGCGGCGAAAGCGATGCCCACCGCGTCGAAACTACCGCTTGCCGGACGCTTCGACGACCGCAAAGTGTGGACTTTCATGTAAAGTTCGAAAGCTAACGTGTGGTCGAACGTGATGGGCAGGTCGTAGAGGGTATGCGTCCGTCCGTTTTGACCGCAGTAGTGGTATTCGGATCCTTGTGGGAAGGCGTTCGTCAAACAGTCACACGCTCTGGTCACCGCTTTCGGCCAGCGACCCGCTCGCTCGCTCTCTTCTCATAAGTTGTGTTCGTAATGTCATTTCAGCGCTCCCACCATCTGTCGTTTGTCTGTCTGTTTGTCTGTCTGTCTGTTTGTCTGTCTGTCTGTCTGTCTGCATCTCTGTCTGTTTGGCTGTTTGGCTGTTTGTCTGTCTGTCTATCTGTTTGTCTATCTGTCTGTTTGTCCATCTGTCTCCCAGTCAAAGAAATGTGCGCATAGAGCTTCGAACAGATAAAGTGGACAACAAACGGATGTCGCGCGGAGGTGCACTTGTCGCGTAGTAAGTAGCAGTAGTGCGGTCGTGGCGGTTGTACGAACGTCGTGTGTTCACAGCTGCTGAAACGGTCGTATTAAGTTCTAGAGGTCCACAGCCCCCAAGCTCACCACCACTGTCCTCGAAGTAATGGACCGTACGACATACCGCGGGGGGGGGGGAAGGCTCCACTTTTTCTGCCCCTGCACCCACACTGACTGGATGCAGCGAGTGCTTAGGCACGCAACACCACCGCCGCCTCAAACGACGACCTCCATCAACAGTGTGCACCACTACGGCTGCCAAAGCTTCGAGTTAATATTAATTAGGTCTATCCTAGTGTACAGCTCTTTACACAGAGAGAGGACTGTAAACGCCTATGCCACAGCGGTCTGCGAGCCACTGGCCACCTCCTCTTCACGCACTGTTTTGCTGCCCGATAGAATCTCGTACTCACACTTGGAGCCGTCAATAAAGTTGGTCGCGTCGAACTTCAGGTACAGGTTCGACGCCACGGGGCGACGACCCGAGTACGCGGCCGAGACGCCGCGAATGAGGCCGTTCTCGCGCGGGTCGGGCGACTTGGGCGCAATGCGCAGGTCGAAACACTGCTCTTTCGAGCCCAAGTACCACTTGCTGAGCTCCCCGCACACGCTCACGACGCAGTTCGGACTCGAGCGCACGTCAAACGCCACGACCGCCGACTCCATCGTGGCCTCAGCGCTCCGACGGCGGTCGTGGAACACCACAACTGTCTCTCCGCCGACGATTTTCTCCGTGAACGGCCGAAGCACTTGGGCCTCACCGACGTGGCTGCCATTGTCCCACGTGGCTGTCAGTTCCCTGACCGGCGCTGGCGTCGCCGACTCGTACGGCACCAACTTGGCCAATAGACCGCGCAAGTGCGTGCGCGCCGTCTGCGGGGCCTCAGCCTGCGGCGTGGCGACGGCCGGAGCGTCCGCGGCGGCGGCCGCACTCGTCAGGACAGCAACGAGCACGAGCGAACGGAGGAGCTGCATAGCGAGTAGTGGAGCGGTGCGCTGCTAGGGGAGGGGAGGGGCAGACGAGCGGACGGGGTGGCGGGTTTGGCGCGTGGGCGAGAGACGCGTCTCGTTTGTGTGGTCGGTCGGTGGTCGCGTTGTCACTCGTCCCTCAGGTACTGCGGCACTGTGCTAAAAAGAGAAAATGAGCGCAATAGCGAATTGCAGGCGCGAGCTGATCGCTTTTCAGAGGACCCCCTGGTCGGCCTTTTCGAAACACATCGTGCGTGCAAACGGGCCGCGGCGCGCAGACCTTCCACAGTGTATCAATCAATCAGCGCGCCGCTTGGCGGCACCCGGTGGTTTGGGTTGGGCCACTCTCGTGCCTGTGAAAACAAATACTTACGTCCCCACGCCGAAACGGAGCGTCTGACTCGCGGGCCCTCCTCCTCGTCCTCCTCCATTGCCGTCATCGGATGATTGCGCAGACGGCGTAGCCATAATCGCGATTATTGACCAATCCCGACACGGCCCTCGCGTCGCAGTTGCCGGCGCAGCTGTGTCGAGGAAGCCAAAGTTCCACACACTGAACAAAATCTTGTTGCGAGCTGAGCAGCGCCGCGCTCAACCCATCAGCTTCCTGCCGACCTGCTGCACAAGAACTCCTGTGCATAACAAGTAAGTCGATGCTCGAGATGGTACGACACAAGTCGTTCGTTATAGCTGGTCGATCGGTCGGTTGGTCGGTTGGTCGGTTGGTTATTTGGTTATTTGGTTGGCAGCAGTGTCGGCTGTAACGACAACGTCGATGCGCCCGCGCGTGTTTTGCGAGGCCTGAGCTCAAGTAATCGCGACAAAAGGCTACGAAGAAGAAGGCAGTGATAACCGCGGCAGCCGTCGTGACTTGACCGCTCAGACAAGACCACGAGTGGGAAGACGGCATCTGATTCGCAAACACTGTGTCGCTGCGACCACTGTTGCCGCACTTTCCCGATCCTTACGCACACGGTGGGGCGCGCTTACCTTGTGATTTGCGCTGCAGAGTGTCATGCGCCGCATCACGCGTCGGAGGAAGCGATCAAGTGCCTCACTCCTGGCCAAGAGTACAGAGAGAGAGCGCGCAAGTAGTTTGCGACCAAGTCGCGCGCATTGTTTACGTCCGCGTGGCGCCGAATCTGCCAAATATGATATTTGCCATAATCAACGAGCCAAGTGGCAGACAAAGCTGTGCTGTCAATTGAATCGTGCGCTGTCCTCTACACTCTTCAACAGGGCCCTATGTCCTGCGACGGTGTGGCCATAAAAAAAGCGCAGACTTCCCGGACGCGAGTCCCTAACACATTGACCCTCGAGCTCGAGCCCCTCCCTCCCCCCCTGCGATACGCAGGTGTAAGCGGTATAGAAACCGCCATCGTCGCTTGATCGGTCGGTCACTCCCACGATTCTCTATCACTGCCTTGTTTTTTTCGCTTTCTAGAAAAAGGACATGCCCGACGATAAAAAGTGGGTCCCTGGCCTGACCCGAGCGACACCACATGCGACTCGCAACGTCGTACCCATGTGGTACGTGTTATCTACCTACGACATCCAGGGTCAGCAGCTCGTGGCGGCTGGTGTACCTACCGAGCAAGGTCGACAATAACCGTCTGGCCGAGCCCGTCGACCTAACGAGACGCCAGGAAATCGCGTCCAGCAGTAGTCCATGTCTCCATTTTTGTGGGAATCGGAGTTGAACGCACCTGACTTGTTGGAACGAGCTGTCTGTCCCCAAAAGCTCATCACCGCTCACTCCCTCCCTCCCTCTCTGCCTCGTCCTGTGCTCCGTCATCGACGGTCGAGGATTGTGGAGAGCCCCATAGCTTTGCCAATGTGTCCTCATCAAACGTGAAGGGCAGCGCCAGCAGCTCTTAATCTCGCACATTCGTATCGCAGCCGTACCCGATTCGGCGCGCATCTCCTTCAACAATTCCTTTGCAGTCGACACAATACTACGGCTCCTGGATCGGCGATGCACCAATGCTTGTCACGGAGACGACACGAATCGAGCAGTAGTGCACACGTGAGCATCCGTTGCTTGCAACTCAACACGCGAGCTGTGCCTCGTGATCACCTATCATCCTGTCAACATTTCAGCCTCATTTTGTCAGTGCAGTCACGTCCGTCAGGTATGAAAATACATTCTGCACTACCTCTTTCTCTTCTCTTCCCGGCACATGAACGCTGCGCGTGCACACGAGCGTAATGGATGAAGAAAGACAGTTATTCATTGGCAGCAATGCCGAGAGCCCCTACTCGCTCACATCGGTCATCCCGCATTGCATTGACTGGTGCTGCAACAACGTCGTCTTATCGACAGTTGTCGGTTGCCGTCACGTGGATGTTCAGCGCTTGATGAGATTCATCTCAGCAGTCGAAATAACGTCCGACTCTTTGCGCCGCGTTTGCATCCGTGCACGCAACGCTTTCATTACCGCGACTCGACGTTTGATGCGCAGGAAAAGCCAGAGGTGACCGCGCAGATCAGCTGCATCAGCGGCCAACTTGGATATGCAGCCTGCCAGATCCTTTTCAGGCACGATGTCGTCACAAGTAGATGTTGGAACAACGATTTGATGAGTTTCGCCACGTACGTGAAGCTGGTATTGAAGATGTCGCATACATTGCTCGCTCTTGCCGATACGAACCGACATGTAGGGTTGACACGTCGAGCGGGGCCACCTGCGTATGCGTAAACAATCGGGTGGTCCTTACCGCGCTTCTGACGTCACAGTCTCCTTCCGTAGCTTGCGCTGATAGGGCCCATCAGCCGCTGCCTTCTCCTCTCAATCAACATGAGCCTTCGCCATGCCTGGCTTCTCGTTCTCAGGCAGTTCCACCTCCACATAATGCTTCTGGATGCGCACCTCCAGAGCGCTCTTGTCTGCCCCAAGCAACTCGTCGCACTTGACGCCATTGTGGAAAAACTGAAACGTCGGCATGGCTGTCACGCCACAGCTTTGTGACACGGCTTGGAGCTCGTCCACGTCGACTTTCAGGAAGATCGTGTGCGGGTACTTGGCGCTCAGCTCATGGAATATCGGGCCAATGTAGCGACAAGGGCCGCACCACGTGGCGGAAAAGTCCACGACCACACACCGTTTGGTTGTCTTGCCCTTTGTGACGAGCTCTTGGAACTGCTGCTGCGACGTCACATGGATTACCCGACTCTGTGATCAAAGACACCCGACCGTCGGTCAGCCACAAATCGAACACTTGGACGACGGACTGAATGAATGCAGACACATATATGCACGTGACATACATTCTCGGGGACGCTTTCCTTGTCAGTCTGGCCAAGCACATGTTTGCGGAACCAGTTCCAAAGTCCCTGGAGCACCACGAACGCGACCGGCAGCAGCGCGTACACGGGAATGCAGAGCCCCCCGAAGCAGATCTGGAGCACACACATCGTCCGTACAAAGACGTGTCAGTGCACAGAAGCGCAGTGACGTCGACTGAGCGCAAACAGGACACCGTACGGTCGCTGCCGCCATAATCGCAGTCAAGAGCGAGCACGTCGAGCTCCACCAGTAGATACAATCGCGCGTGTCGACAGGGGCTGTCGGTAAGTTACACGTCCTACCGGTAATCTACGCCTAAGTCCGATCCGAGTCACTCGACTGAAATCAGCGCTTATCCATTAGATTGCACCCAAAATAGCCCCCCGCGTCTATTCTCCATATCTTCGCTTTTCACGATGCCAATCAGTTAAAACCTGATTCGCGCAGCTTATAAACATACAAATTCACCGGTTCTTCGACCTGAAGCTACGTTTTGGTCCTACCTAAAAAAGAGCGCGCACACAAAAACGTTTCACGACCGGAACACACGCGCACGTGGTCGCGATCATGGAGCCATTGCGGGCGGAAGGCAACGCGTGTTTCAAGGCGCAGGCGTTCCCAGCGGCTATCGACAAGTACACAGCTGCGCTTGCAGCTGCTCCGTCTTCATCTGAGCTCACCGACGAGGCCCGGAGCGACGTCAACGCGCAGCGCGTGGTCCTCTATAGCAATCGCGCTGCCTGCTTCCTGCAGCTCCAGGACTTTATCCAGGCGGAACAGGACTGTACCCGAGCGCTGGCGCTCGATCAAGACAATACGAAAGCCCGATACCGACGTGCACAAGCGCACATGGGGCTGGGCAACATGTCGCAAGCGTTCCAGGACGTGCGTTGGGTCTTGCGGCACACGCCGACGAACAAGGCAGCGATTGCACTGGCTCGGAAGATCCAAGAGAACGTGCAGGAGGATGTGCATGGCGTGCAAAAGGCACTGGACACAATTGATCGTGGTGTGCAGGGAGACCAAGTGGGAGCAAGGGACAACACGGGGCTGCACGAGGGATGGGTACAGACGTACGACAAGACAGTCGCCGCTCTGCAGTACCTGGAATCAAAAAGTGTGGCTGAAGTTACGAGTTTGCCCGAAGAGATTGTCAAGAAACAAGGACTGCAAGTGCTCTGGACTGCGGCCAAGACGCTCGTGGACGCCATGCGAGCAGAGCAGAGCGAGAGTGACAAGGTGTCAAGTATCTTGATGCACGTCGTGTCGCTGCTGTCGATTGTCGCGTCGGCGTCAATGACGTTAGCGGAACGAACGTTTTGTACAAATGATGGTGCACTGAACATGCTGCTGGAGCTGCTGCGTGATCAAGTAGCGCTCGAGTATGCTGCACCAGACTCGAGCGAGAAGAAACAGGTTGTCTTGATTCGAGGACGTAAGGTGATTATCCGCCTGGCGGCATTTATGTTCAAGTACCTGCTTCTTGAAATCAAGCTGGGTGGTGACGATGCGTGTGTACGTCGAGTGCTCGACGGAATGCTCGACGGTCTGCGTAGTCGAGAACGCAAGCTGCAGATTGCAGCCCTGGACGGGCTTCTTCACTTTATCTCTGTGCTGAGTGCCCAGTCTCCGAACGAAGCTAAGGGTGACGGCAGTGCAGCAAAGGCACGATTCGCATTGCTTGCCCAGGAGCTTGGCTTGTTTTCGTTATTGCATGCTACTGGATCCAGTGCGCTGCCCGGATTTAACGCGGGCGCGAACACTGCTGAGAGGTCGACTCCAGAGCTCACAGCGGTGCTGCTAAACCGTCTCCCACTCGTTTTTACGCAATGCCTTTCGCATTTTGAGGGTGATGATACGACGCTAAAGAAAATGGTACGCGACTGGTGCGTGTCTCCGGTACTAGCAGCGCGACCCACGAATCGTGTCCAGCTTGCCCAAGGTTCTGCGTCCTGTCTACTTCTATCGGCCTTGTTTCTTTCGAATGCGAAGCTGGCACTGTGGGCTGTCCAGCAAACTGGGAACGACGGTACGGCATTTCTTACGCGGTTGCACGAGTTCTTGGCAGCGTCGCGAACGTTTGACGACAAGAAGGCCTGTACTAGACAACTGCAAGAAATATGGGTCGACTGTGTGGCCAGCATTTGTGGAGTTGAGCACGGTCCTGCCTGTGTCCCGCCTGCACTGAGAATTGAAATCTATCGCATGCTACAGGCGTCGCTAGACGAAGAGAGTGACTTGATGCTTCGCGCTAGTGCCTTGAGCATTCAAGTGAAACTCGGTATCGTTGAGAAGACGCTGGAGATGCCATCTGGGGACGGACAGTTTCTGATGGACAGCGTGTTTGAAGTGCTCGCGAGTGCGGAGATCATGGAAAGCAAGCACCGGGAGGCGGAAAAGGCAAAAGAGGGCAAGGAAAAAACAAAGAAGGAGGTGTCGAGACCGCTTTTGTACTGGAGCGGCGTCTCTCCTAGAGAGCGTGGCATCGAGGCGCTGTCGTACCTGATCACATATACCTCTGTAAAGGATGCCTTCGTGCGGCACGCCGGTGCTGTGACTAGCGTGTTCAAAGTCGAGTTCCCGAGCACAAAGGATTCTAGCACTGCTGCACAAGGCAGTGCTGGCTTCAGATCAAACGTCTACTATGGTATCGGGTACATTTTGCACCACGTTTTGACGTCGGAGGCTGCTATCAAGCGGAAGCAAATGGAGGGTATGGAGATGACGGCTAATCAATACGAAGAGCTGCAAAAAGCACTGAAGCAGAAGTCTGTGCTCGAGGACGGTGATACGCCTGAACACGTGGAAGCCCGCGTCACTCGACTTGCTGCATCCCGCGACGTGTTGACCACGCTTGTGCAGCTTCTGAAGCTGTCCGCTACCAAGTCAGAAAATATAATGGAGATGGCGACACTGAGTGCGTTGCATGCTGCAGAAGTACCGTCGGTGAGGGGCAACCTGGTGCAGTGCGGCGTTTTCCAGGCACTGGTCCCGTTGGCATTGCACCATATTGCGACAGCGAAGATGAAAGGTGGCAACGCTTCCAAGAGCCCTTCGCAGCTTCAAGGCACAAAGATATCGAATGCCGCAGGACAGGCGATGGCGAAAATACTGATCAGCACGAATCCGAACTTGATCCCGTCGTCTTCCCTGTTTTCATCCATCCGGCCCCTGCTGGATCTGTGCAAGGGTGACCAGCAGTTGTTGCAGTTCGAGGCACTCATGGCGCTCACAAACGTTGCGAGTGTGTCGGAGGAAACGAAAGCGCGCATTGTGGGTGAGCCGCAGGGACTCTCTACGTTGCAGTACCTCCAGTTCTCGGAGCACGAGCTGGTTCGTCGGGCAGCCACCGAAGCGATCTGCAATCTGCTTCCGAATGACACGGTAATCGAGCAGGTTTTTATGAAAGAAGAGAAGGTCCGCCTCTGGATTGCGTTTGCTTCTCTTGAGGATGAGGCTGAGGATTTTGAAACAGCGCGAGCTGCTAGCGGTGCACTCGCAATGGTGTCTCAAGCGCCGCAAGTAAGCTGGGTTCTCATGCGCCAAGGAGGGCTCAAAGCGTTTGCCACAATTATCGAAGAAGGATCGAATGTCGAGACTCTGCATCGAGCTCTTATTGGAATGCAGAACATGCTCGAGACAATCGTCGGTGCTGCAGAGGACGCGGAGAAGGCCGAAGAGCGGAGCAAGTTTACCGAGGAGGTCCAACAGCACAGTGCGGCGCTGAAGCAGAAACTTGCTGTGCACTGCAGTACGGCTCCGATCAAGGACGCAGCCCAAGGTTGCCTTGCAGCATTAGAGCAGCTGATCCAATAGCCGAAGGACGACCGTTCATGAGGTCCACGTGTTCAGACGTTTGCAAAAAAGGTCTGAACAAAGGCGAAACGTGTCGTGATCCACGCGCTTTGATCGCGTGCAACGAGGTAGAAAGCATCCAAACAGGAAGCTCCGAAGCGAGAGTTGTCAATGCAAATGGAGCAGCAATGACCTGACCGACGAAAAAAGAGGACGTGCAAACACGACACAACGGGTGAGAAGAAAAACGTCAGCATCTCAGTAAGTGTGTGTACCGCGAGTCCCTGTTCAACTGCCAAAGCAAAACGTCCCACGCGCAACAGCGACTTACTATCGACGACAGGGGATCGATCGATTTACGTCAGTGGTCCACAAAGCCCAAACCGACCGATGCACAGATACCCAAAAAAAGGTCCGCAGCCTCGAAAAAGCGATCGCGTCGGAGCACGAAAGGACCAAACCGACACTGGCCGCCGCCATCATGAGCGACGACTCCATTGCGGTGCAGCGCCTGCGACAAGAGCGCAAGAACTGGCGACGGGACCACCCGGCGGGGTTCTGGGCCCGGCCTGTCGCGAGCGAAGACGGGTCGCTGAACCTCATGCTGTGGCACGCGGGGATCCCGGGCAAGGCCGGCACGGACTGGGAGGGCGGCGTGTTCAAGATGTCGCTGGGCTTCTCCGAGGACTACCCGAGCAAGCCACCGCTCGTGAAGTTTACGCCGCCTCTGTACCATCCGAACGTGTATCCATCCGGTACCGTCTGTCTCAGCATACTAAACGAGGACAAGGACTGGAAGCCCAGTGTGACGATCAAACAGATCCTCAAGGGCGTGCAGGACCTCTTGGACCAGCCCAACATGGCCGACCCGGCGCAGCGCGAGCCGTATATGGACTTGAAAAACGATCCGGAACTGTACAAGCGCAAAGTGCGTCAATTGGCGCTGAAGAACCGCGAGAGTTAGCACAGCAGTGGTGGACGATGGATACATGTTGAGAGATGAGGAGAGAGAAGAGAGAGGGAGGAGAGAGAGAGAGAGAGGGAGGGAGCAAGACAGTCGTAGCTGGAGAGCATTCAAGCAGGTAATTCGAGCACGTGCTGGAGCGTAGAGGATGCAAAAGTCGGCACCGTCCCGCGCGTCTCGTTGCCTCCACGGGGGGTCGCTCGGCCCTTCCGCCGTCTCTCACTAGTCCTTCTTGAGTGCAAACGTCTCGCTCTCAATGCCCGACGCCTTGATGGTCCAGATCTCCACGCTGTCGCCCGTGTAAATATCTCTCTACAACAACAACAACAACAACAGCGGAACAAGACACACAGCATCAGTCTCGTCCCGTTTGTACTCCCCCCAGCAGCACCGTTCCCCCCCCCCCTCTTCCCTACTAATACGCACTTCGCCAGCCGTCACGAACGCGTCCTTGATAATGTCCTTGGTCTCCTGCAGCGTGAGCTCCTTCTTGGGGTCCGACCGCGTGTCGTGCTCCACGAGGTTGTCGAGCAACGGGATCATCAAGTGCCCGCCCGAGCCCTGCGCCGCGCGCGTCACTTTGTCGTACGAGCCGATCGCGTCGTACGTGTAGACAACGCCTTTGCCGTCGTCGTCAATGCCGCAGAGGATGCAGAACGCGTAGTACGGGAAGAAGCGGCGCGAGTAGAGCGTGTTCATGAGCAGCTGCGCGACGGCGCTCGCGCGCATGGCCGTCTTGTTGTCGTGCGCGTACATTTGCGCGCGAATGTCGAGCACGCCCCGCAGCTGGAGCACGTCGTTGTGCGAGCCGGGGCAGCCGAGCACCGTCGTGGGCGTCAGCGCGTGCAGTTTGCTCTCGTGGCGGCTCAGGACCGAGTACCCCGTGCTCAGGCGCGTGTCTCCAGCCACGACGACAAAGTCGGTGCCGGCAATGGCCAACACCGTGCCGCCGTTAAAGTCGTAGGGCTCCCAGTGCGCGTGCGCGTGGCCCGCAGCAGACGCAGCAGACGGAGCAGTGGCCTCGACGTCGTGGAGGTGGAGGTGGGCGGGGCCGCTCGAGGTCCACGCGACAGCGTCCGGCATCACGCGGGACAGAGGGGAGAGGGCACTTGTTGCGTGTGGATTGCGACTGGCCGGTCGATTGCGAGTGGCCGTTCGGTATGCACCTGAACAGGTCCTGCCCAAACTCATCTTCGGTCGCTCGGTTCCTTTGCGATCTTTAGTGCAAAAACAAGGCGTACCGAACCGAGAGCGAGCGCGTCAGTCGGTGGTAGCCGACTCGATCGACGTACCGGTAGATCCCATCTACCGGCGAAACAAGCGGTGGCGGTCGGTCATCTACCGATATACCGACAACCCCCCACGCCTACCGTTCTCACGCCCGAAAATCGGCGCCACTGGTCGGTATTTCCACCCAATCAATCAATCAATCGGTCGCGCGGGCGCACTCTATCGACCGCCTCCCGCCCTGCGCGCCTCGGCCTCTCGACCACTCATGGAGCGCGAGCCGTGTCCGTTCCGCATCGTCGAGGACGCCGGCGGCGGCTTCGTCCTCGGCGCCGTTTTCGGCTCTGGCTGGTACACGTTCAAAGGCGCGCGCAACTCGCCGGCGGGCCAGCGCTTCCGCGGCGCGCTGTACAACGCCAAGATGCGCACGCCCGTCCTCGCGGGCGGCTTTGCGGTCTGGGGACTGCTCTTCTCGTCGTTTGACTGCTCGTTCGAGGCGCTGCGGCGGAAAGAGGACCCGTGGAACTCGATCCTGGCGGGCGCGGCCACCGGCGGCGCGCTCGCAGCGCGGGCAGGACCGCGGGCGGCTGCAGGGCAGGCGCTGATTGGAGGAGTGCTGTTGGCTGCTATTGAAGGCGTGAGCATTATGGTTAACGAGTGGTTCGCGCCGCAGCCCGAGGCGAGCGCGACGGGCGATTTGAGGACCGACCGAGAGCTGGACGAGCAGAAGCTGGCGCCGCCGTCGTTCTAGGGCCGCGGGGGTGAGATGCTGCTACTGCTGGAACTGCTGCAGCTATTGAAGCTGTTGTTGCTGGAGCTGGACGTGTGAGTGGAGCTGCTGCTGCTGCTGCTGGAGCCTGTTGATGGGCGGACGAGACACATGTGCTATTTGGTGGATGGAATTGGGTCAAGATACATTGGCAGAAGAGCGGATGAAGAAAGAGATGGAGAGGTGTCTGCAGTCTGAAGCAAAAGTTGTGGTGCACTTGCTGAAGGCGACGTGCGTGGGGTGGAATGGGGTGGCGAGAGAGAGAGGGAGAGAAAGGAGCGCGCACGTGCAGACGAGTGAGAGAGATAGAGAGGAAGACAGCACAAAGGTCAGAGCGGTAATTGTGGACGCGGCGATGGAATGTCAATGTACCCGTAGACGCTTTCATGCGCTTGATCCTGCCGAGCACTGCGCTCGTGGTGTGTGTTTTAGTTGCTCAAGTCGCGATGAACGTGGTCGATTGGTGTTGCGAGCGTGGCGTCCGAGCGCAAGTCGCTGTCATGTCTCGGCTCGATTACTTGCCGCCAAGCAGCTAACGTTGACAGGAGGAACGTGTTTTGTGCATGAACTCAATGCAGGTGTGTGCAGCATTGCAAGGCGTGCAGCTTGACGCTCACCTCGTCTCGATCGGACGCCATGGACTGTCCGGCACGCTTTAGAAGGAGACACTGCGAGGGTGATGGAGATCGGCTGCACTGCAATGAGGTAGCCCCGAGCAATGCTATCGGTAAGCTTTGATGATCTGTAGGGCGCACCTGTCATCAGAGGCACTGGGCCTCATGTCCGACCGAACATACGCACACGGTATATGCTTCTTTTGTCATTGGTGTGTACTTTACGCACGCGTGTCTAACTCGGTGTGAATTGACCGATACTTGTCACAGTCGATGTGCAGCGTATAAACCCAACTTTGCTTCAGAAGAGGTTTCGACGGACACTGCAACAAGATCTGCACGACCGAGTCGCTTCTCATCGTGAGGTTCGTGCTTGTGGTTGGGCTCCTTTATTTCCAGCGTGATCTTGACTGACACTGTCGAGCTCATGCAGCGTCACAGAGATTCGAGCGGCATCATGTTTGCAGTGGAAGGCCTTTGACTGGACTCAGATGCGTCAAAGGTCAAGCAAACACGTGATGAGCTGTTTGACGATCGCACTCCAACGAAAGCTGTCGGAGCGAACGAGCCGAATGGATTGGGGGAACCAAAGTCGCAGTGGCCGCGACAGCCATTGTATTCTCCTGTTGCGAGGTCCGAGACACGTCTACAACGCGCTGAGAGCTTATCCGATTGTTCCACGGCGTTTGACCACCAAACAAGTGATGTTGCGCGGCGTCTTTTCCACTTCGTTCAAGTTGCGACGATCGTCGTTTGCCGAGCTGCTGCTTCTCACGTCCGCTTCCCTCTACGCTCCTGACGAAGTCCCTTCACCGTATCCGATAGTGCTTATGACACTACAACGGATGCAATTGAAAGGCTACGCAGCTCGTGAACAAGCTGCGTGCACTGCTCTCGCACTAACAGTCGTCTCGTCATCGTTCAACTGTCCGGTACCGTCTCGCAGTAGCCCAACATCATTTGCACTCGTTTACTTGCTCTGGTACAGCACCGTTCTGTTGATTCTAAGACGGCCATGTCGCGTCCGTCGTCAATCGCACGATCTTTGCTTCTCTTACGTACAGCTTCAGCATAAGCAAAGATCGCTATCCTATTCAGTGCACTGAGACTGCACGTCTGGGTCCAATGTACTTGGGAAGAGCTCAAGATTACATTTGTCCAGAGTGAAGCAAAGCTCGACACTGTGAGTGGCTATTAGAGCTAAATGAGCGGATCAAGAGCATCGATCGACTTGACCAGCACACTTGGGCTTTGTTCGCTACATCGTCGAAGTCATAGCGGGGCGTAGTCGTACATGTCACAGTGTAGAGGCTCGTTCCATAGTCTCAGTCTGGACATTTGGTGAGACTTTGACGAAAGATCGGTCGTGTCGTGACATTTTGCGATTCGTACGGTTGATTTCGGTCATGATCTAAGCCAACAGACACAAAACGAATCGAGGAATCACTTGAAAAGAGTGGGAAACATTCAGTTGATCTGCCTCCTGGCACTCAAAAGAGTTGAAAAAAAGAAATCGAAACTTAGTTGTAGGCGTTAACTGTTATTGCTACATTTCACAAAACGGAAGGAGTTTATGTAGAATTGGACAAGAGAGGTCGGGTTTTAAGGCAAAAAGAAGTCACGAATATTATACTTGCAATGCAACTTTTTGGCTGGAAAAATAGACCCGAATATTCAACTTGCAATGCAACTTTTTGGTGCGTAGATCCTTTCACTCTCACCTTTATGCGATTATCCACCAACAAATCCCCCTTCAATTACTTTCTGGCCCACCGGCAATGACGGCGAATCGCGGGTCTCAACAGCAGCTCAGCCTTCCTTGATGTCGGCTGCTGGTATGGATGAATATGATCAAAACTTCGACAAACAAGAATTCATTTGCTCTCAGTATCCGATGGTGGACCAATAGAAGATTGCCATTTAATTATAGCCAACCCATGATCTTTCATAAAGTAGTTTCAGCATAACAACCCATTAGGGTTAGGGATAATTCATTTTGACATCATTCCGACATATTCTGTCGAAATTGAGCCAAAAATATATATGAGCTCCTCACAAATGCCTAGTTAAACGTACACAATGTTATATATTGTACAATGTTCCGACAAATATGGCAGCTTCGTAATTACTTACCTGGATAACTCAATTTTACAAGATTGTAGCCCTACGCTACTGCAGAGTAATCTCCACGATACCAGAATCACTGAGGTTCATGTTGAAGTATGTCTGCGCAGTATACAAAAGCTAAGTCATTAGCCGCATTGAACTGAACCTAAACATCGGAGTACGCGAGTATACTTAAGAACTAGACAGTACATGAACATGAGCATTCAGTCGTTGGTGCCAGTCAATACCAAGTCGGTCCTGCCTGCGGCAGCGAACAACTTTAAGAAATTTCTCGCGTTGGAGTCCGTCACAGTCAAACAGCTGAACGCATCCATCCTCAGTGACCCGTTTGGTGCCTGCCTCCGTCGCAGTTATGGAGAAGTTCGCCATGCGCCTCGCCTGTGTCAAGGGCAAAACTAGAGAATTTGTGGCAAAGAACTCTGTGGTATACTATTACAGACAAGTCAAGAAGTGGCTGCTTGGTTTTTCGCGACACACAGACCGATTGTGGAAGACAAGCTACTCGAGATGGCGCGCACTGTGGAAAAGCACTGCTTGAAAAGAGTGAGCGGAGGGATCATAAAGAAAGCTGCATCGTGTACGAAAGGATATCTTTCGTTACTTATGAAACAATTTTACTCAACTGCCACGAATTCGAAGGACTACCAGGACGCTGCACTTGTCTGCCTTATGTAGCATGTCTATGGTCGGGCGTCTGATTTATCGCTGGTGTAACGGGGCACACCCCTTGCGTGAACTTAATGCAAGGGTGACGTGTGCCCGACAAGCGTACACAGGGTAACCGAGGAAGTGGTAGGCAAAACAGAATCCGAAGCTCTGTCTTGAGGGAAAAGTAGAACTTTTTATTTAATATAGTTATAACGTTGATATATCATCGTTTGACTTACTCTAACTTAATTGAACTATCTTCTCCTATGTGGGTCCCTTGCTCACCACCCATTGCGCGCGTCCAGCATCGATTAATGGTGGAGTTGGTTGATGTACACCGTACATCAACCGAGAAGCGGACCCCTCCACGGATATTATCCGTAGCGGTAATAATCCGACAACATCGCTCATTTCGAGTGATGTTGATTGTGTATTATCAAAACAGATAATATTAAAATTGGTACTTTCACAATAATTTTTACGTAACGGGCTCACCCCGTTACAGCTGGTTCTCAAGCAAGGTCTGTCCGTCAGCGCCAGGAACGAACTTTTCATTCGGTTATTTCGCGTCAAGACTTCTGAAAAACAAGGTCTTTCACTATTCCCCGACCAGGTAACATTTTCAACATGTCCAGTTCACGCCATCACTGTGGCCCTGCTCATGCAGTCCGCCCAAAGCCTTTCACTGTTTCCACGACTTACCACCAAGATTAATGTTTCAGATCCTGCGATTACAGCCTTCATTCCGCTGGTCGGGCTTCTTGAAAGTGGATGCCATGTTAATGGTGAAATTGTTAAAAAAAACAATTTCTGGACCCGCAAGCACTCAAGCTCCAGGGGTCCATAGCTACGTGAATAGGATTCTGAAAAAATCAGCACAGAGGGCAGGTGTGGACAGTGAGCTGAAGTCACACACGTTTAGACGCGGGGTAGCCCAACATGCGAACGGAAATCCTCATTTGAGTGCGCAATGGATCTTTGACCCAGGCGCGTGGAATCTGACAGCTACGAATAAAGCAATTTAGAATGTCTTCCATTCGACAAATGAAGACCAAAATTCGCGCGTTATTAGAGTGGATGGGGTGCAATCCAGGAAGCCCATATGTCCGACCTATGTGTCTTTGACAGAACTGTCGTTTACAAATTTTAAAGGGTTTAAGCGCTCATGTTCAGCACATGCAGCAACCTCCACGTCAGCAGATTTAATGTTAACAAACGTGTCCTCGACTACTGTGCAGCATGCTCAATCCGCCACTACTCACGACTTAGTGTGCTAACTTCAAGTGGTCCCCCAGTCAAGCGCCTGGAGGAACGCGTGTCTGCTGCAAATTGCTAGTTAGCGGATATGATGATGTGATTAATAAACTTAATGAAGTGGATCACGTGGAAGAAAAAATTTGAAAACAATTTAAGCAATAAATCTGACATAAACCAACGCGAAAAAATTCAAGCGACCATCAGGTACCAAGCGGCAGTAATTAGCGGCCTTATCGAGATGAACAAGGTCTGAAACAATCTAATTTTAGCAGTCGAATCCGAATTGAAGAGACCAAGAGCAGTCCAAGTTGACATTTCTTCTGGAATTTATTTATC